GCACTGCAGCGCTGCGAACTGTCGTTGCTTACATTTTTCAAGCAAAAACACACAAAACCAAGGCAAAACATGCTGCCATGTCTCTGTACAAGCATGCAAAAGCGACGAGTGGTTCGTTGAACAAAGTTGTTGCGAGTGCGCAATGACCGTTCGTGACAGTTTGGAGGAAATGATGTGCTTCTTGTATTTTCATCCGGTAATGTGAGTTGGTTCTTCAATATGGAATATCTGTGTCTGTTAGGGAACTTTGGAAAGTCATTCTTTAACAATCCTTCAGGATGCCATAAGGAAGGAAGGATAATACTAAGCTACCAGACTAACTTTGGTTTTGCTTGTACATAATTTGCTTCTTTGGGTAAAGTGTAAACATGAGAACATTTGGAGGAAAAGGTCAACCAGTTGCAAACGTGACAAGAGGGATGAAAACTTCAGCAAGCTTTCTAATCTAAAATAACTTTGGTTTTGCTTGTACATAATTTGCTTCTTTGAGTAAACATGAGAGCATTTGGAGGAAAAGGCCAACCAGTTGCGAACGTGATGAGGGATGAAAACTTCAACAAGCTTTCTAATCTAAAAGTTTGAGATTCTAATAATTGAAGAGAATGGTGCACCGGAATGCATTTCTGCTTTCTTGGAGTTTCACATCTTGGTAGTTTGGATGGCTGCTTCTTCTGTCAGTTAGCAGTCATCACTAACATAGTCATCGCCTTTAATCCTCTTCTTTGGTATTTGGTTCATCTTCTATAACAAGAGTTTTTTGTAGTGTGTGAGCATGTTGTATTGTTATTCCTAAACCAATTATGGCTTCACAACCAATCCTTCTCGTTTGGCATTACATGAACGTCATCATTATTCAGGCTGTTGAAAATATTCCTCTTACGAACCATAGGAATACAACTATTAAGTCGGTCTCTGAAGCCTAGATATTTGATGCACTATTTTGTCTATGTTCTGTAATTTTGCAGATTATTAGGTACTCCTTTTTTGGTATGAAAGAAGCACTTGGCTTTGCACCTTCCTGGCTGCTATGGCTTAGGTAAGAGGTCACTCCAGACAATAGAACAATTGTCTTTTCTCCTCATGAAATTAAAATAAAGGTATTTTCTGCCTTCACTGTTTTATTTGGTTGTCATTTATTTTTGGCAGATACAGCACCTTCTTGATATTGTATCCAACTGGAATCACCAGTGAGGTTGGCCTCATATACATTGCTTTGCCCTATATTAAGGTAATTCAAATCAAGCATGTGTCATATAATATTATCGGTAGATTTGAGCTCTTTGTGATTTTTATTATTTTCTTTTAAATGTGTCATCTTGTTGAACTCTGTGTGCAATTGTGCAGGCATCTGAGAAGTACTGCATTAGGATGCCCAACAAATGGAACTTCTCTTTTGATTATTTCTATGCATCGATTGTTGCCCTTGCAATCTATGTCCCAGGCATGTTCCTCTGCATTTCTGTGTATCCTAGTCAAACTACTCACAGGCACAAACTTTGCTTTTCTGACTGGATAAAAGTATCTACAGGAAGTCCACACATGTACCAATATATGCTTGGGCAGCGGAAGAAGGCTCTCTCCAAGTCAAAGACAGCATAAGCCTGATCAAGCAGGGATGTAATAGTGTCCTTTCACTGACTTTCTGTTCATTGTAGCTGCAATCTTTCTTCATGACACAAATTGTTCTCTGGAGAATTGCTGCGGGAAGTGCTGTTGATCCTTTAAATAAATACATTACTTTTCTTCTCGGTAGTGAATTTTTTTTTTTATGTGTCTAGGTTAATTGTAAGAACCATATCCTTCATAAACTCCTGTCTGTTATTGTTGTAATTGCGACATCAGTATAGTTGGCAATCTCAAAGAACTCGTACTCATATGGAAACCACTAAAACACTTATTAATTGTCGGGTGGTTTGATGGTTTGCAGATATTACTTGTTCCTGCAGAAGTATCCTTAGAGTCTGTTTGTTTATCAGCAGAATTGTTTGGTGAACTTTAGACAATTAAGGCCTACAAGATTGCACATAAAAAGCAAGAAATCGACTCATGTGTCTCCATGATGGCAGTTGCTTGTCATGTTTGATGTGGTGGAATGAGATGTTCATGTGAAATCTGAACTAGTGTTATCCAAGCACGACTCACCATTGGTTCTTTGAACAAGGATGACAACATGAGCTTCAGTAGCCTGCAGAGGAAGTGGCACAGTGGTATGTACTCTCTGTTGCTTGAAACAACACAAGCAAGTGAGGTGATGGAAGATGCCACAGATGATGCATGGACGTGGAGCAAGTAACCAGAAGAGCTGGTGAGCCAGGCTCTCTTGATGAAGCTGGTGGAGATGCCATGAAGGAGTCCAAGACTCAAATATGACAGCGGACACATGATCAGCCAGAGAGATGCCAGTGTTGCTTGCAGAGGAGTCCTACAGCATTTGTTTAACAGCATTGAACTGGGAAACCTTGATACTAACATTTCCTCAAATAAAATGTACCATGTGCTTGCTATCTATCTCCTGGAGTTGGCCATTGGGGTTCCCATAGGTCATTGCCTCTGTCTTGGGAATAATATCTTTATGGTGTACTGCATGCATGCTACTGTCTGATGGAAGCTATTAACACTACCCCTTTCCTTTCTGTCTAATGGTCCCTTTGGCGCTTGAGAGGCTGGTCATTGGTCCTTTGATTGTACACAGCTTCCATTTTTTTCTAGCATGGTGTTGTGTTTGTAAACACTGCTAAAATAATGTTGGTAACATATAATATATTTAAATAACTTGTTCAAGTCATTGTGCACTGCTCATACAATATAGTTTGAGAAAAGCAGGACTTCTATTCTGTGGCATCTGCTGCTTGTGTCAGATTTTTACTGCAGACCAAAACATGTGCTGCCATTACAACATGTTGGAGGTTTTGTTTCTGCTACATTAGTTCCTGGGAAAGTTACTAACATGGACGGACCAGTTGCTGTCTCAGGGACTTGGATCAATCAGAAGAAAGGAGCAGTCGAATTGCCTTTTCGGTGGTTGCGGCATTAACATTCCAAAGCTGATTACCAGGACAAAAGAGGCATTACCACCCCAGTGTGGGGGGGGTGTTCTTGGAGTCTCAGGACTCATGGAGGATGGTGGTGAGGCCAAGCACCATGTTTATGGCCACTCTGTTCTGGTCCCTCCCAACAATGATCTAGTAAAGGAGACTTTGAGGTCATAACCTTTGTTTGATTGAGACCTCAACTCAACAAAGTTTCAGATGGTTTATTTGTGAGTGCTCCACTGCAGGCACAGGTAAAGAAGCTAATCATGCAATTTGCCTGTTTACCTGCTCTACCCATTTGATCTCTACATGTGGAAGCTGTAGTTTCTGATTCTTGGTCCTTTTGTTCAGAAGAGATGCTGTTGGTGATTAGTCTGAAAAGAGTGCTAAAGATATATCTTTGAGAAGGAGAGAAGGAGGGTAACTATGTCACTGTCACCCCTCACCATCAACACACAAACGATTCATGTAATAGTGAAGGATCGAAGACTATCAAGCATGACATCTGTCACCCAAATTGATGGTTTATTGTCTTATGCAGCTTCAGATTCAGACGAGCAAGAACACACAGAGAGAGAGAGAGAGAGCGAACTCCAACCTGTATGATAATGAGAGAGCAAGTGGTCCATTTGCTGCACTTTGATACCAACTTGTCCTCTTTCTAAAGATCAACACCCACCTTTACCTAAGACTGAATCTGGAGATGAACACAGTGAGTGTTTAACCTCACCATATGCAATGATGAGAGAGGTAGCATTCTTTACCCTGTGTTCTTGACTTGTTGCTTGTGAGCTTCCTGTGCATGAAGCTATGGAGGAGGTTGTTCACAGTGAGGAAATCCACCATCAGTTGTCAGAGAAGCATGAGACTCTCACAAATGTAAGGCTTAAAACACTGATGCTGCCCATCCTCTTTTATCTTATTCAACTTGTCTGTCTCTTATAGGAATGGTATCTTTGATTATACCACAAGCAGGAATCTCCTCCTAAACAATTCAACCAATGGGCTTTTTTGCTTTCTCCTGTTAGGGATGTTTTAAGGTCAATGATTCAGTGCCATGGAGCTGTCGCTCCTCGTTAGATTGCACCTGCAATGACATTTTTATTAACAGCCTTTTTTATTATTATTTATAATTTTATTTTAATTTTTTAATATTCATAAAATATGTCTATACAAATAAATATAAATGTTTTCATCGTATTTGTATATCTTTTTTATTTTTTCTATTTTCTCGATCAAGCTCTCCTCTCCTCCTCCTTTTTAATTGTCCTTTTCTTTTTTCTAAGAACTATAAATAATGAACGATATCAGATGATGAAATAGAGAGAAGCAACGTAGATGCAATTAGGGTTTCGACGGATATAATAAGAGGATGTGGGAATGAGGATACGACGGATAATTAAAAGATTATAAATAGTAAAATTATTTTTTATTATTTTTATAAAAAATATTAATAGTAAAAAATTGACAATAACAAATTAGGGTTGTCAATAGCAAACTTCTTCCTCATCTCACTTGTTTAAAGGAAGTAATTTAGCCTATAGATTGCAGATAAAAAAATATTTTTATTATGGAAACTATGTTTTAGATGAAAGATTCACTTATCTTTATGGAAACTATGCTTATGATACATGATTAGCTTTCATATATTGATTCCTAAGCAATATTAGATACAGGTAAGTGATTTATTAGGATTAATCATGACATAAATGGCTATGTTTCAACTGATGTAAATACCAGTATAAGTAGCATGGGAAATTGCGCCCTCTTATCGGATGTGGCTCAGCGGGATCCGATCCATTTAAGGGGTCATCTCTGGACTGATGAAAGAGAGGGGCCTCTGACAACACAAACCAAAAACAAAAACAAAAACAAAACACAAAAGCTTGATGTTACCGTCAACTAACGGCCAAATCGGGGCTCATCCGGTGGAGGCCGCGTCCGTCGCGACGGCTTCTTAAACGGCGCCCCGTCACCGTTTGGCCTTCTACCTCGCTGCTCCCTCGTCCACCTCTCTTTCTCGTCCTCTCGTTTGTCATCCCTCGCGGATTACACCGCCCGCATGAAGACGGCGATCGTCGTAGAAGCTCCAAGGCTGTGCTATTCTTCCATCGTTTTAACCCTCTTCGTCTCTTTCGAGCTCCGAAAGGTAATCCTCTGAAGGAGATCCCACCCCAATCCGTTCTTTTCGTGGGTTAGAACAACGTTCGTTTGATCCATCTCTTTCTTGCTTTTGTGGGAGGAATTGGTTAATAGGATCTTTCCGGGGAGGAGGAGAAGGGGAAGGAAGGAATTTGATTTGTTTGGTTGGGGGTTTGGCGGTGGGATTTATGGAATAGAATCGTGAGGGTGTTTTATGGGATGCTTCTGTTGGGTCTTGTGGATCTCCAACCACACCAGATAGATAGGAACGGAAGAGGCGAGGAGGTGATCAAGCGGAGGAAGAGACGGAGAGGGGCGAGGAAGACCACGCCATGGGCGAACCCATACTCACCACCCTGTCCATGGAAGATCATCACCACCGCCGCCACCACCCTCCCTCCACCCTCCTCTCCATGGACCCCGCTGGCTCGCTGGGGATCGCCGTCTCCGCCCGCGACGACTGCGACCATGAGCTCTCCATCATCCAGCAGCGCCAGCAGAGCGTCCTCTCCGGCCCGCCTGACATCAATCTCCCGCTCTCGGTCGACAGGTCCCCTCCGCAGCAGCCCTGGAACCCTGACGCTTTGGACATGTTGGACGTCGGTCTCGGGCCTCAGATCTATGACCCCGAACCGGTCCTCAACCTCCCCAAGGCCGGTGCCGTTGGTGGCGCCGCTGTGTCTCGCAAGTGCGCCAAACGAGGGGACAGCATATGGGGCGCGTGGTTCTTCTTCAACTTCTACTTCAAGCCCGTGCTTGCCGAGAAATCAAAGGGCAAGATCGTCCGTGACGCAAATGGAGTCTCAGGATTCGACAAGTCCGACCTGCGGCTTGATGTGTTCCTTGTCCAGCATGACATGGAGAACATGTACATGTGGGCCTTCAAGGAGCGCCCGGAGAACGTGCTGGGGAAGATGCAGCTGCGGAGCTACATGAATGGGCACTCACGCCTAGGGGAGCCCCAGTTCCCTTTCAGTGTTGATAAGGGTTTTGTGCGTTCTCATCGGATGCAGAGGAAGCAATACAGGGGTCTGTCAAATCCACAGTGCGTCCATGGGATCGAAATTGTGAGGTCGCCGAACCTCTCTATGGTCTCAGAGGCTGATCGCAAGAAGTGGATGGAGCTCACTGGCAGAGACCAGAATTTCTTGATCCCACCTGAAGCCAGTGATTTTGAATCATGGAGGAATCTTCCAAGCACAGATTTTGAGCTGGAGAGACCTCCACCTCCTTTGAAGAGCACATCACATCCCAGTTCAAGGAAATTGCCAAATGGGTCAGGTCTCAATCTGTCAACACAACCATCAAACCATGCAGGTGGAGATTGCATGGACCTTTCGCCCGTGTGCAGCAAACGCAGAAAGGATTTCTTTGCCCATGCGGTGAATGAGGATGGTTGTATGTCTGGCACTCCATTTTTGGACAGACCTCAAGATATTGAAGTTCATCCAGCTGAACCATCATGGGTAAATGAGTTTACTGGTGTAATGAGGCATGCTTGTGGGCCAGTGACTGCTGCAAAGACAATATATGAGGATAAAGACGGATACTTGATCATGGTTAGCTTGCCTTTTTCTGATCAACAGCGGGTGAAGGTATCCTGGAAAAACAATCTCACACATGGGATAGTGAAGATATCATGTGTCAGTACTGCACGGATGCCTTACATAAAGCGACATGATAGAACATTCAAGCTGACTGATCGTTCTCCGGAGCATTGTCCTCCAGGGGAATTTGTGAGAGAAATACCACTAGCTACACGGATTCCCGAAGATGCTAAGCTGGAAGCTTACTATGACGAATCTGGAACTGTTTTGGAGATAATGGTCCCTAAACATAGCGTTGGACCCGAAGAACACGAGGTTCGTGTTTGTATGCGCCCTCCTCATCTCGGTGCCAATGAACTTTTGTTGACTTGATAGGCTGTGATTTTGTATGTATTGGTTGGTTGCCATGGTCAATTTTCCATTGATTACTAACTCTGAATCATAAAAAGGAAAATATGAAATGAAAGTTCATCCTTTCCATGTGTGCTTCTCATGGAACAATGAACTTTGTTTCATTGACTGACTGGTATTTTGTGATGTTCAGTCATGATATAAAGTGGGTTCAGTGGACGTTTGTTCACTTACGAAACACGGTAATGATTTTTTGGTACTTGTTTGATTTCTCCAGTTTATTTCGGTACAAGGATCAAATTTTTTTTCTTATTGTCTGTGATGATTTTGTAGGCACAACTGCTGATTTGTAAAATTCATCAGTGTATTGGCATATCAGCCCCATCAATTGTAGCTCTTTCGACAAAACAAACAAAAGCATTTTTGTAGTACAAATTGTTAAGATCAGTTTATGTTGGATATTTTCTTCTTATGTTATGTTTGTATAATTTTATGCAGTCTTAAAATGATGACCTATTAAAATTTCTGCTACTTTATGTTTCATTAAATTGACTCTTCTATATGTATTTCACTGGGGTGATTCCACATTTAATTGGCTTATTTCCTGATGATGTAGCACATCTTTTTGGCTCTTGTATCTGGTAGTCTTCAAGTTATTGACAGCATTCCAGTCTCCCATTGTGGGCTTATCAATTGTGTTCATGTGGTAAAGCATTTAGTGACACAGTAAATCCCACAGAATTGGCTTGATCCAATTTTGTTATGATCTTAAACTTAGAATTGAGACATGGGGAACTCCTTGAATCATTTTGCACATTTCTGTGCCTCAAGTGCCCCTGTGCTGTCTTCTTGTTCTACTTGCAAGGGGAAGAACTAGATTTTCTAAACTCTATTTAGCTGTTGTGTTTTGGAGATGGATTTGTTCCTTTGAACATGAAAGTTCTTGTATTATCAATATGATCTAATCTGATAAGATAACTGTCCGATAATTTAATTATCATTGAGCCCGAGTCACAATACACTCATCCGATAATCTAAATCTTTATCAACCTATTCTTTGCTCCCTCTACCATGTTCTGTCTCCTCCTTGCCATTGGCGATGGTAGGGGAAGCTATATGATGCTTGCTAATTACAGGCTCATTTTAATCTTCCACTCCACTTAAAAACATATCTTGTTATGTTTGCGCCTAATCGATGACAAATTTGGTGAAACAATTTAGTTGGTAGTCCTAATTCAGTCTGTTCGGCCGGTGTTTAGGGTTCTAATCTGTCGAACGTTAAAAGGGATTTAATCTTTTCAGTCAAAAAAAAAAAAAAAAAATCCAAATAACCCATTAAAGTAAACGAGTCAAAAGAAATTCTCATATTTTCTTTACTATAACATCGTTTATTAAACAAAATAAGGGATTAAGAACAATTATAAAATCAGATAATTGACCGTTTTAGCTTATTAATTAGATAGTTTGACTCTTAAAAAGACTTAATATCATCATTTCTACTCTTTATCGATTAAAAGATGCTTAAGTTTTTTTAAAAGACAATTTAGATTTTTATTTAAAATAAGAAAAAAAATATATATATATATTTATTGATCTTTCATCCTCTCAACCTGTCTACCTCACTCCTAACGTTTCTTTTATTATTACTAAATATATGGTCCAATTAATTGATCCACTTGTTTCACCATTGGCCTAGTCAAAATCCGATAATTATAATTATCAAATGGATTTTCTAAGATACATATTGCTAGTTGTTATGCACCCTTATGTCGTTTCTCGAGGGTTAGTACAGGCTTTCAAGTGGGTCCCTAGGGTGAGGATGCCAGGGAGGCAAGGTCGGGTCGCGGGAAGGCTCTCGTCACGTCCTTATGAATGACCCAAAGTAAGATTTGAGTTGTCTTACCTACGTCGCGTTCCTATATGATAGGTCTAGGTCGGGAGGGAGAATTTTCGACTCGACCTCTCTTATACTTAAATTAGTAAGTGATCTTTTGTGGTGTAAAATGTTTGATTCTCTTTCCAGGTTAGAGAGTCAACATTTATACCTATGAAGATAACCCAAAGGTACGCGGGTCATTAATGTCCGTTGTTATCTTGTTCGACGCAATCATGTGAATGGTCGACCTGTTCTTGATAGCATGAGTCGACCCATCTAGACCTCTACGATGCAGCGTCCACCCGCACGATTCCGAGCGACATGTTGGATCATTCCACGTCGACTTCTTGTGGCTGCCAATTATCGCTATGCAGTTCAAGTCATATTTATTGTCTTTTGAAAGTGTAAATTACCTTAGTTGGTAAATAGCTTCATAGTTTATCGTAATATTTTGGTTCAAATTTCATCTACATTATTTATCTTTTATAATAAATAAATAAAATAAGTAAATGGACGATACTAACCTATCACGATTTTGGTACTATTGGCATCACGAAGAAAGTTAAGAGCAACAAATGGAAAGCTGTGACAACGCTTGATCAGAATACAGTAAGCAATGAACCACGTTCGATCAAGATCTGACGGCCATCCCATCTCGTGCCTCTGCACGACGCTATATGCTCTTCCTTTTTCGGTCACACCTTCCCTCAATTAGCAACACTCGCTATTCCCGTAAACCGTGACTACAACTTAATAATCCTGCACCTCGGCATGGATAACTACGAAGACACTGTATCCGTCAATATGGACCGTATAATGAATGAAAACGCACCAGTCTAATGTTAGCCCGCGCAATACTGGACCGCGGCTCGGAAGCATAATAGAATAGGCGTAGAGAGAGCTCACTATCATCGGAGACGAAGAGCCGGGGGGAGCCCTCGTTCGGTGATCCGAGCTCCGATGGATGCGGTGGATTCTGGAGAGGCCTTCGACCTCGAGGCCAAGCGCAGGGACGACGACTCTTGGCATCCCTGCCGCATCACCTTGAGGTCTCTCCAAGCCTTTCTCCGTATTTCGAGAATCGCTGTTCCTCCCATGGTTCGTCTAACAATGTGTTTTGTTCATGCCGCCGATTTGGTTACCCGAACGCACTGTGAAGAGTGTTCGGTGCTATGCGCTTGTTTGCCCTAAGTTAGAATGCGTATTGCTAGTTCCGTAGTTACTCGTAGAAACGTACTCTTCAAATGCATGTGTTGTTTTCACGATCTACGATGCCATAGTTATGGTTGTGGATCGGTGACAAGCAAAAGAAGGTTGTCGAGGCGCTACAGGGCATTTAATGAAATTGCTTGGAAGAAGAGAAAGTAATGCCGTAGAAAGATGAAATTTTCATTGACTTGTATGTGTATGTATACGTGCACAATTTAGATACTAATATTGTAGTTCAAACATGGCTTGCTGGTGCAGTTCAAATAGTGCTGTCTTTGGTATTAGTTTGAACTTTGAAAGTTGTGATGAGGAAGATATCATCTCAAGCAGAGAAGACTTGATGGGGCGTCTGCGGTTTCGCTCCAACCCTGTACAGGATAACTGCTCTCATCTCAGGGGAGGAGAAAAAGTCCTTGTCATGAACATTGTGCAGTCTAAGTGCTTCTACTTTGATGCCGTTATAGAAAAGGTATTTGCTTCTTGTGAAAGAATTGCTTTTTATGAAGCTCATGTTTTGATGGCATCCATCCTTAGTTGATAAGTCAGATGATAAGAAAAATACAGGATTAGCTTAACTTATTGCACGGTTGCCTTATTCTCTTGAACTGAGATAGAATTATTCTCTGTGGCATGTCTTAATATTTAGTTCTCTTATGCAAGTTTTCTTACTCCTGTAAATGTCTTTTAAGTACTTCATCTCCAACTTCATCCAAGTGCATGCAAGATGCTATATCACCAAATAAGAGAGCTACTGTTTCGGGCATTTCTTTCACTTTGGTCAAATATATTTTTTATTCAAACCTAGTAATTGATAAGTGTTTATACCTTGCTCAAACCTGGTCTTAGATAAATATTATGTTGACTAATAGAAATTTGTGATTAGTAAAATTAGGACTTTCGATCTTGATTGAAACATGACTATCATGCACTAGTTAAACTGAAGTATTTTCTCTTTTTTCATTTTATGGGCATCATGGATATAGAATATTATATACATGCCATGCTCTCATGTCAGTTGGAATTAGAAAGGCTGCTATGCTGGTACATGTTTGCCAGTTGCATATAAGAAATATAAACTTAGATGGAGAAACTGAACAGGAAACTTCCATACCTGATCCTGACATTGAAGTCTCCAACCTCTCTTTAAACAATGGATCAGAATGTTGACATAGATGTTCAAATGCATTCTTGGCTTTCTGATAAGAAGTCTCTGATAAGACCTTAGGGTTTTATCATAGAAGAAGAGAAAGAAAAGAGATGATCACTTCAAGAGGATTGGTCTCCTTGATCATTTCGAGGGGATTGGCCTTCTAGGGTTTGTCAAAAACTAGAATAATATTTCATAGACGATGAAATGAAATAGATATATCTATATTTATAGAGTTCCACCCTTGAGTCCATCAGGACTTGGATTCCTAATAAATAAATAAATCTCAAATAAGCTCCTAACCAGCTCTTACTGGGCTAGTCAAACTCAATAAAACATTATTCAAAGCTCAGAAAATAAAAGGGATCATAACAATTCCTCTCCCTTCAAATTAGCCTTGTCCTCACGGTTAAGCGACATCAAATTCTGGGAGCTTCTCTTTCAGCACTTCAGTCATAGGATATCTGCAGCGCATCACAACCTATTCATCAAGTAAGTAGGGTCTCCACTTTTTGATAGTGTAAGCAATGGGCCAGCCTCCGGTGTAGTAGTCATTGCAGTCTTCTGAAGAGCCATCTCCATCTGATGGCTAGTGGCAGTTGTGACCTTACTTCAACATCTTTCCTTTAGGATCATCTGTTTTCCATTAATAAAAAACTTCATGATTAGTTTAGAAAAATTTTAAAATACATCACCCAGGATTGATAGCCATTCAATTCTAAGCACCACTTTGAAGTCTTCCAAGAGTAGTAAAAAGAAATCCACAAGCAACTTTTGTCCTTGTATAATCAATTTTATCTTCGAATACTTGCTATCACAAATTAAAATCCGTCCATTGATAGTGATCCTTTACACCGTTGCAGGGCGAGCTGGCACAGTTTGGTTCGGTCCCGGGTGCGCAAGATCGTCCACCTTTGGTGGGTCGGGTTTGAGCTTTGGCTTCTGAGTCGGAGGCACCCTGGGGCTGACCGCTGGCTCCTCGGGCTCCGGTCCCTGCACACAGGTCGGGGTCGGGAAGGGGCTCCCG